TTAATATATTTTCGAAATGACCCAGGTCACAAAAATTAGTAAAGAATATGACACAAAGGTATATCACTCCAGTTTGCATTACATCATATCAGCATGACAACAGAAAACAGGTATTTATGTACATCTAAGTGAATACAAACCAACAGAATAAATGATATTAAAAACTTAGAGGATGATAAAGAGAGCATACACTTGTGGTACTGAAACGGATTTCGACCAATAAAACTATGAGTCTTTAGTCAATGATCCCTATCGCTCATAGAATCCTGACCAGATACTGTACATCTCCCTATGCAACTAAGACAAGTAGTCACAGGATTCGAATACTGGTATCACGTCTTTGTCTCGTCTCCCTGAGCCTTCTCTAGACGCAATCCCAATTTGGGCATGCACAACATATGTCCATGTTATCTCAGTCTGTCGAAATTCGTTATCTCATGAACTGATTTGTGTTCTTTGGATGGTAGTTTCAACCGACCTAGAAATTGCTCACACGGAGAGTTTACCATGGGTGAGCAACACTGCGAAGGCAACAATGGTCAAGCGGTCGATGCGTTTCACCTACCAAATTTACTCTTGTTTTCGACTGTATTCAGAAGGCTCTGGATTCTATCAGCTTCTTCGTCTGACAAAACTGTATCTTCTACTGACTACTAATCAAACAAAGGTGTCTCCCAGTATGTAAGTCAAATTCAGTAAAGTAAGAGTTCCCTAGGGTTATGCCAGTCGGTACATCTATGACAAAATAAGGCAGGAACGGTTTTCATCACTTTGGACAACAACTCCCTTTAAGCACCTACACGGTTGCATGAGCTCGGGTAGAAAGTCTTCAATTGCTGAAGATACTTGGGCAGTTGAGAAGACCACAAGAGGGTTATGTTGGTATCAGAAAGAGAAGACAAGGGAAACAGGCAATGGTCAGTTTGGTTTTGCATACTTCTGGAAGAGTGCAGACTGTTGGTACTTCCCGAATGATAACAGCATGGAAGTTGCTTCTGCAGCGTACCTGGAAGAGAAAAGAGATTCGTTTCAAGTGACTACAAAGCTCATGGAATATTTTCTTGAGGCCGGTCACATACAATCTCCTCCTTGGACTAAGATTCGACTATGCTAACACTGGACAAGAAAATCCCCTTCTACTTGTACTGGAAATGGAGCTTTAATGCAGTGGTGGTTTAAGGAGGTGACTATCAACCAGTGGGTCATGGGTTCGAAACCAGCTAAAATGACCTAGGTTTGGGTAGACACCTGCTGCACAGATGTGTAAAAGGTGACTGATTGCGTCTCGTACTTGTATCAGAACGCAGCAGGACAGTAAGAAGTGTAATACTATTGAGACCCCTTTCTCATAGGGAAGGGAACATCAGCATGGATTGCTGTTGATCCGTACGAAACACTATTCTGGTGTCAGACCCCGTCTAGTCAACAGTACGACTTCGCCATCAGATATCCATTATAATGTATCTATTTACATTATGACGGTAACCAGGATCGTAGGATGTCAAGAGGATAAGTGTTCCAACCAACATAGCTCGTTTGATGACTTCGATATGCATTCCCCGCCACCATATTAAGGTAGCAGTTGCTGGTTGGGACACGAAATTGGATTCGACAGTAAATACAGTCAGTGGAGTAGCACAAACGTCATATAGTGCAGCTGTAAATATAACACTTTGTAATCAACCTGACACACTTTGCAACAGCAGAGAAAAAGCAAATGGTAAACACAGACAGTGAATTCATAACTATCATTTAACAAGTTATCGAGTACCTTTTGTACTAAATTCAAAGTAAGAAAAACGAGATTTGAAACAAAAGCACCACGGTTTATTCGCGAATATAAAAATAACGTTTAATGACTTAATCTCCTCATTTTCACTAAAAACACTACATCTTAAATGAAAGAAAAGATTAAATTTACCGTGAAGAAAGTAAGGAATATTCAAAATGCGATTTGCAAATTTAGAAATTTCAATGGTATGTAGCTGAATACTTTTCTATGACAATAATTTATGACTTAACTGTTTGCATAATTTAACAACAATTCACCAAGAGACACGCGATAAAACACAAGTGTGGATATCACTTCAAATCAACAAAACACTGCAAGTGTTAGGGGAAATAAAGGTTGACTATATATATCCCTTCTTTGTCACCAAAATTTAACAGGGTTAGAATGAGCATAAAAATAACAGTATCACTCAAAACATACCTGTATGGATTAAACAAATGCCTGGCGCCTCACTGCAATTATCATTACATTACATTTTATTAACAATATGAATGGTTTACTTTATGTCAATCAGATTGACTAAATCAAAACAAACTTTCATTGAACAGTGGACAAAAATAAAACGTTAAAAGATATACTGGTCTTGAGTGGTACTGAAGAGACCTTTATTATTAACAAACAACACAGTAGTGGACATAGAATATTAAATAAGTACATTATTAAAACGAAAGGTTACAATCGGGAAGTCGATCAACCAAAATGTGGTTGAGGTATTTTACACATTAAATAAAATATGAAATGAGATGGAAAACGTCCAGAGAATTCAAACTGGGGTATGATACAAAGACCATGTGCATACTGACGACTGGATTGTGTTGTTTGTGCATAGCTAGATTTGATGATCGACGTCAATGGAACCAGTTCAAATCAGAATAATGCAATTTAACCTGCTATACATACACTTGTACACGGTTAAAATCATATCCAGGTTGTGAGGGATTATGATACTACCCTAAAACTAGAACCGAATTGAAGTGGGGTGAATGAGGATGTAAATCGTGATTCCCTGCTAGAAATCGAGTGTTAAGGCCAGTGATCCACATGTCAGCCAAGCTATTCTTCACTTCAGTTTTGACTACATGAGATAGCCATGGTTGGCAGATTTGTATTGATACTGGGTTATGATTGAAGGTGAAATGAAAAAATGAACCGCAATGGGACTGGAACAGTGAAACACTGGGTTACCGGCCCAGCGCTCTACCAAATGAGCTACAAGACTCGACTTATAACCAGATTTTCATTTCAACTTCAATCGTCACCCAGTATAAATAACTAGTCTGCTAAACTACGGATTTCTCACCCCAATCCAAATCTGAATTAGAGAGGGGACCATCATATTGATTATCATTTGACTAATCCTGATTAGGTAGCCAGTACGATCAAGCAGTAGTAACGCGTCACGAATTTGGTGCTTGAAGTGAGATAAAAACATGGTCAGCCGTCGGGCTTCATACCTCAGTTGGTAGAGCACCAGGCCAGTTGTCCAGTGGTCGCTGGTTAGGGTCCCATCGCGGTCCAAATTTTCATTTCTCTTTGTTCACCACTCAGTATACTTCATTTGTTTAATGTGAAGCCGTGGTTAATCAGTTAACCCAGTCGACTTTTAACCAGTTTGACATGAGTTTGAGCGCTACTTGACTTACTGATGTCTAGACAGTTAGGCAGTATCAGTATTGTAAAATAGATGTGGTTTATTGTCTATTGCACGAACGTGTATGGGGTTGCTAAGTTGCATTGTTAATATTTTTCGAGAAGTATGAGGGAAGCCAATAGTATGAAGGTTTTTCATTTGCGGTTGTATAACCCAAAGGCTTACTTCTGCCGTCTAATAAGATGAAATCGTTTAGGTACTAAACTGTTAAACTCTAAGGTTACAAGCCTACACTGGAATGTCTAAGCCGTGGTAACCGAGGTTATATTGAAGACTTTACTTATCCTTTGGAAATGTAGAGTATTCCGTCCAGTTAGCGTTATCAGACATAGTGGTCGACCAAATCAATTAGCTTTAGTATGACAGCTGTATTATATGAGCTGTGGGTTAACTACTTCGATGCATACCTTAGACTATATATCATTAAGAATAAGGATGGTATTGTATTTGGATATAAGTCAGATAATACCATGAGACAACCATGGTTGGTGAAGATGAATAGATGCAAGATGGAGCTCAGAAATTAGTCAGTTTTATGCCATTTGGAAGGAACGGAAAGAATGAAGATGAGTTGGATAGTTCCAATCGTCTTAAAATAAGAGTTTCCTATATGAGGATATCAAGTGACCGATACATTGAGTGACTGTTATGCATAGGCTAAGACTTTCCCATTTAAGATCTGTCACCATAAATGCTACACTGACAACATGCAGTAACCGGTAAGTTTGTGGTAAGTCCTTTTCTTTTCTCTAGTTTTTTTAGGAGGAATGACTGTGCCTAACGTTTAACTACACCAGTGACCTTTGTAACTTAGCCATTCTCATCCCTTATCCTTTATTCCAATGAAGCCGGACAGAAGTAAGCGCATGATCCGGAAACGATCGTATAGCTTGAAATTATATTGACTGAAACGAGAGCAGTTGTACAACACCCAAGTAGTAAGACATCTCTCCCCCCTGGTTAGTAAGTGGCGTCCAAAAGTGGTAACTTATAAATTCTGGAGCCTGACCAACTGCCTGTGATGCAACACGGAAAGAAATGGCTGAAATGTCTGAGTACTACAGTAGTAGTAGGAGGGGTGGATATGTAGCAGAGCTTCGAGTTAGGAAGACCTGGGGGACTTAAGTGGTTAATAACTCGGGTCACATACTCAATGTTAAATCCACTTACGTAGTGAAGGTAGATATCTGGGACTTAATTGCTTTTTCTGTTGGTAACAGCATAATATGTGGTGTACAGAACTCCCATGCATGAAACTGTCAAAAAACTGGTCTCACGCCCTGTGATTTTCGGTCTATCAAGGAAAGACCGAAAACAAATGGAGCAGATGCAGTTTAACCGTCACGAGTGTAGAATTCATAAAAAAACTCAATAGGAGAAGCTTGTTCTACTTAACAAGCATGACAAGAGAACCTGCTCAGTTAACCACTACAAAAAAAAGGCTAGTTACTTTGTTAATGATCAAAAACAGAAAATAAATTAATGATGTGAATATGAATAACATAGAATGTATGAAAGGAGAACCATAAGAAAGTTATCATATGTGTAACCACTTACTGCCTTGGTATGATTGAGAACCTGTTGAAAGAAAGAAAGATGAAATACATTACTAATATTCTTACGTTTTTCAACACTAACATAAATTTGTAATTTTTAGAGTAAGTCAATTGTAAACACAATGTATATCTGGTTTTATATACTCAGTCTTCGTTAGTATTACACTTAACCATACCATCAATTCATTCAATACTGAAAATTCCCAAACATCATGAAATACCCATCGAATTGATAGTATAAAGTCATCTGTGGTGAATATAAGGAGGAAAAATGTTGTAGTTTTATCTGTGACTGATAAATACATTTATAACGCATGCTACCATTGCACGCATAGAATCATGTTGGCAGTCTCTTGTTTGTAATGAACATAAGGCAAATAATCCTGAAAGACGATTCAATTAAGCAGCGTTAATTCAAGTATCATCGCTCGTTACTGAAGATCAGATGACCAGGAAGAATAAGCAACAAGCAACTCTGGCTGGCTGGCAACGAACCAACCAAGAACCCATCGCTCAACAAATATGCAGAAGCAAGTGGGCATACACTGAGAAGGACGACTGGGGACATCACGCTCTAGGTCAGGCACTCGAGTGGAACCCAGATGGGAAACGACGAGTCGGGTGTCCCAGCTGAGGGTGATATGGAGGAGATTTGTGAGGAAGAAATGAGAGCTTGTGGGCTGTCGTGGAGCCAGGTTCAAAAGTTTGCAGAGAACAGAGTGCACTGGAGACGTGCTACTGAAGCCCTATGTTCCATTAGGAACCCAAGGGACAAATAATAATATAATAATAATAATAATAATAATAATAATAATAATAATAATAATAATAATAATAATTCAAGTATCATAACATATACTGATATCTAAAACTTTTAGATTTGTAAGTTGGATTAAACTAATTAGTTAAAAATCTAGTAAGATTTAGAAATGCATTTTGTTAAAATCCCAAATAATAGTCAAGTAAACAACATGGAAGTACATATATCCAACCAAGTGATTACGTAACATTTAAAACGCAAAATAGTTGAAGTAATAGTTTCAACCGTTAATAAAGTTGCTTCGTTCATATTCAGTTGAATATAACGACGTAAATATCTGAATTTTCTGAAAATAACCTTCTCTAGATAGTCAACCAAGTCGAGCTATGAGAACAAATACACAGAGATGGCATCGGATGATGATGGCGCTATGTCACGAATTGACACAAATAAGAGGATTTGGACCACAGTATTATCAAAATGCTCATTGCGAGAAACAACGGTTCTGGGTTTGATCCCTGATGGGGTTATGAATGTGCACTGTCGAGGAATCCCATCCTAGGATAAAACAGTTGTCCAGTGATCCCAGGCTTACAGTGGTTCTTCAAATGATGTCAGACCATGATCCACACTACCTTGAAATCAATCATCTCCAAAAGGTGGACAGTTGGAAATCTCTGCTACCTATTTTGTATATAAGATATTACTACGTGACCTAGCAGTTATTAGAAAAGACATGGGGACAACAACATTACACAAGTGTGAAATGAAAAAAGTTCATAGTAGGTCGTATTCAAAACTATCATAGAAAAGCGAATTGGTACATCAATTAACACTAACCTTTCAGACCGGATAGCCCACCAGTACGGCTTTCACTTAACTTGTCATTCATTTCCATTATACTGTTCACTTTATCACTAAGTTGAAGAGCAAGAGCTTGAAGTCGTGAACGTTCTGTCTTATGCATTATTAACGCATCATTAGGGGCTTCTAAAGATGCCTTCAGGAGATAACAAACAAAAATTGTTAACATTAATATTTATTTTTAAAAAAGTTATTAGAGTGAAATCTAAAAAATCTAAAATGATACTTGTCTCACCATGAGTAGTCATAAACTTATGAGGTAAACCAAACAAAACACAGTATGCGCTAAGCAACATTTCCAACAATATGTAAGCGTAGGATTCTGTTCACTTTATTGGCTTTGGTCCTTCTAGTGGGATACAATCACAACATGAGCTGGTTAGATAGTTACACTAAGTCCCGAAAAAAGCGAGAAAAGTAACCAAAGCTCTTCCTAAGTCTTCTAAAGCTTGAATATATGTGCACTAACCGTTGTCTACTTTGATGTCATTTTTATTCTATCCACTTGTTATTTGCATACTACTGTGAAGTGTGGCAACTTGAGCCAAAACACATGTATGTGAAATTCTACGTTGGTTTTCTTAATCAGTAAGCACTTCCTAAGTAATTAGCATCCTTTTTTTCCTTGTTGACAGGTGAAGACATGAATAATCTGAGACTAAAGTCAATATAACTACACTATCTTTCTCCAAACTACTGCCAGTTAACTCCGAACAAACAAGATTGTAAGTGGTCGAGATGAAATGTGACCTTTTACCGTAAGCATCTCGTGTTAGAAAAAATTTTGAATTAGATATTTGGAAGAAAAACGCTTTTAATATAAGTTTGAAGAAATGCAGCTTAGTACTATCTTTATTCAGTCAAAATCTGATTCGTTTAAAATGTGTAGTTGAACTTCATTCACATCAAGCAACAACACTCTGAGTAAGATTCAGGGTGTTAATCAGAATAATCCATGAACTTATTGATTTTCGGTTTTAGCCAATGTAACGAGGTGGACGAAACGCGCATCCTAGATTCCACTGCTAGCTACGATCCATCATTACCATTAATTAGAACGCTGGTAATATCGAGGCATCCATACAGGGGCCCATATGCTAATAGAGACCGATCAATCCGGTCCAATCAACTACGGTATCATATAAAAACAATTATGTTAATGTAACGAGGTGTAGGTTAGATTTCTTGAGACGGTTGAAAACTTGATGAAATGGTGAAAAATCAGTGGCAATGGAGCAAATGTATATACTCTTTGTCAAGGATACTTTTACTAACCATTTACTACTTTTCTTTCCTCTAGTTTAGGTTTTCCTACTTCCACATTACTTTCTCTTAAACGCTGGTCACAACCAACTTCTTATAACTGGATCATAACGTTTCTTTTTGGGATCCACAAAGTTTTCATAAGACAATATAATTTAGCCAATTGAATGAATATGTAAAATATGTTCATAGATTTGTACCGGTGGAAATCCTAATATCAGTAAGTATGATGAATGAACATCCCTAAGCTTGTAGGTCTAACAAAATTCTACTAGTTATTAACCTATTGGCTTTACACATAAATCAACCTGATATTTCTATACATCTTATTCGATACTCAAGAAGTGATCAATACATGCGATAGTAATATGCATCGTTAAAACTCGACTAGTCAGAACCACAATAGATTATAATGACTAATAATCTTACTGAATATGTAGTGACTTTAAAGGTCATTCTATTAATTTATGGAATAAACAATTAGGTTTCTTTGTTATATGAAAAATTGCCTTTTCAGCAGTAATCAAGAAATTTAACCGATTTATTTCAACTATGGCTAGAGTCACCTCTAGAGATATGGAAATGCATGTATCCACATTTCGATATAAGTGTTTGGTTTTTTTAAACTGTGAAAACTTCAAGAATTACCTGAATACTTGAAAGATACAAAATTACAGTTAAAAATTGTGTCCTACATTGATAGGTGAAAAAAAATTCCGAAGTACTAGCATATACTTCTATTTCATAAGCAGTCATCATTATCAGCAATATCAACATAGACTAGGCATTACTGCGTAACAGTTTAAGTTGCCACAAGTCATATCAGTACATCAAGTAGGAAGATAGTGAGGTGAAAGATGAAGATAAGAAAATTCAATCAAAAGAAATATAAAGCAGTACACTAAATAAATAGGGAAAATATTTTCAAATGATAAAACTTACAGCCAACTCTTGATTGATAATCATTTTACATATCAATGAATAGATTGCAGACTTTGATAACTCAAAGTAAGTGGACAAACGATCCAAACTCATTGAATCATGTATTGCACTATATGTGAATAAGAAACTGCGTAGAGACTCTTCTTTAATTTTAACTTCTAGATTCTTTTTCACACGACCAGATTCGAATAACAGATCCCAAATCTAGTGAAATATTTAACAACAACAGCAAAAAAAAACATAGAAAGCGAAAACTTCACAAATTTACCATATATAGATATATTTTAAATCAGTTGTTGAAGATGTTATTTGCAGCTGTCAAAGATTTAACTGACAGATACTGTTCACTGGTTTAATCATTCGTTTTCCAAAGACAGGGTCGCACTGAAACAGCTTTGACTTGGGGTAACTGAAATGTATCATACGCACTCGAACATTCAATGTAGTCTATAGCCGAAACCGGTAATGCATAAATAAATTGCATTATATTTTTCTTGAATTTTTAAGGGCAATCGAGTAGTTTCGTGTAGCGCAGGTAGTTTGGTTTAGACTGAACTGCAGTTCGTTCTCTCATGCTATACGACTGAGACATGACCGTTAAAAATAGATATGAAGTGCTCATAGGTCTTCGATCATACGTGTCTTTGTAGCATTGTTCGCATTTGGTGGGATCACCATATTACCAATATTGAATTCAACTGAAGGCTACTAAGCAAGGCAGATAAGTCGGTCAATGTGGTTGTGCACCTTCATTGAATGCGGTGGCTTGGACACGTGTCTAGAATGTCTCCTCACCGCCCACCTCGACGTGAAATGCTAGCGTAAGTTGGATCACTTTGGAAGAAGGCTCAAGATGGCTGAGCAAAGATGTGATATCAGTCCGCTAGATCCCTGACTACTGGTCGGAGTCACGTAAGGAGGTGCAAAGTACCTGGTTGGGATCTCCGAAACGATAGGAATCAAGGGTTATAGACTGCCGGTGAAATAGCTGACAATCGGCCACAATGGCACAGATGTATTCATTCTTTGATATCTTCTAAAGCTTGAATACTTGCTCTAACCTTTATCTTCTAATTGAGTATTCTCTCACACAACTTTGTCTACTTTCTTATCAGTATTTCTATCTACCTATTCTTTGCATGCTGCTGTGAAGTATGATAACTTGAACCGATGCAACTGTATGGGAGGTACTACTTTGACCTTTTCTGTCTGTCTGATGTGAATGAGGATTTCATGTAAAGACAACTGATGTACCATCGAACTGGTCAAGTAACATGAGCAGGTTTGATTGTTTGAAAAGTGACTCCCACTAGGTAGCAATAACGCTAATAATTTCCTACAGTACTTGATACAATCTATATGTGGGTTATATCGAGTAGTGTAGGAAATTACCTGCATACCTTGCCTGCAAAATGTTCTATTACTTACTTTAAGACAAGGGAACTAAGAGACACTGAATAAAACATAATACATCAGCATTAAGGAGGTATAAAAGTGATTAACAGAAAGGTAAGGAAAAAACACAAAAGGAGCAAAAACAAAGACGGTTTATTACGTGAGTAGTCATGGGCACACATTGAAAGAAGCATTTACTACTTTCGTTCCAGTTCTCGATAATAGGAGAAATATGAAAGCTGTAGTATAAGTACTATTGGTTTCCATTCTGAACAGTGTTTGCTATCGTCGTAAACCACTAAGTTGTGTGACCAATCATCTCTTGGACTCCATTTAAGATACCATGAGGCACCAACAGATGCCATCCCGAAAATATTTTTCAATCCATGACAATACTTTAAACACTGACCACCTTTCTGCTCCTCTCAACTGGGGCAAAGAGTGTACGGTACGAGGATCATTGGGATGACATCTGTAACACATACTCGAGCCACTAAAGCTGACATTTCAAGATGACTTTACTCTCCATGAGGCCTAAACACTAACCACCTCACTTCAGAATTACTTACGTGGTATTTCTTCAGAAAACTAGAAATCTTAAAAAGATAACGGTGATCTAACGCGTAGGAGTTATCCAAATAAACCAACTCATTTAATTCGGTCGGCGAAAAAATCATTCATTCAAGTATATCGCGATGTCTAGGTTAACTCAATACGATCGAATGGCAATTATATGCAAGCCCAAACAAATGGATCCATAAGATCGGACAGTTCACATATAAACTGTATGTTTGGGTCAGCAAGAATTTTCTGATTGAATATGAAATTATTTTGATTGTCCGAATATGCTCGCATATCGTAATATTCTCACGAATATCTTTAGAGTGTTTTCAATCTATCGGTTTGCAAGTTTACGACAAAACTTAAAGAAAACACCACAGTGGATGATCTTAGGCCAACAGTAGTACATCATACTACTATTCCTAAAATTGTTAACATGTGTAGATTAGCCTGTTGACGGAGTGGAACTCCACCACTAAACTTACACTCATATATATCGTATGTTAGAAATGAAATTTCTAACCGAATATCGGAAGTCAGAGTGACATACGCCAATCTGGGTCACCTTTGGCACTGTCAGGACAATATTTTGACCGTAAAAGGTAGTGATTACAACGCTTCGGCGTCAAAACTTATACACTACGCCTGTGAGACCTGGCCTCTCCAAAAAGAGCATACCCGACGACTGCGTGTCCGATCATTGTTGTCTCCGTAGGATTGCTCGTATCCAGTGGCAATACCCTTTAATTAACTCTGAGGTGTGACAGTGTATGTTTGGGCACGGTGGAGGTCGTCATTCAATAAGTGAGTTCATCTGGAAATACCGGCTTCGATGGCTTGGACATGTGTTACTCATGTCGTCCCAACTGCTTCTATACCATTCACTGTTTAGTAGCCCTGGGACTGGATTGAAGAAGTAGAGGGGTAGTCAGTGTGTGATATAGAACCGTGGGATGAAGGATAGTTTCATAGGGTTAGCATCTGTTGATGCCCCACGACTCCATGCGTGGGGTTCGAAAGATCACGCAACTCAGTACCTTGAGAGGCTATCAGACATGGTTCCGAAACGCAACCAATGGTGGTCATGTTGTAGCTTTCTTCTATCTTCTGCTGCTGAAAAGTAATAAACGTTTTGTTTTGAATTTATCTTATCAGACTGTCATTCTGTTCTTATTGTTTTCTTTTTTGTCTACTTCCCTGCACTTTATGTTTTCATGTTGTTATATTATTTTGTGTGGCGCATTTCTTGGCACCCTTGGTGTACCATGTTTGTTCTAATAATAATAAACCAAAGTTACCTATGCATTTCTATTCGCCCCAACTTGAACAATGTACTAAATGGCTAGGTGAAACACCTAACAACAGTTAGTCGTTGCACATTACTGACTAACCACTGGATTTAAACCCGGTGGCTCAACGGTAACGTGCTGGCCACGGAACCTGAAAGTTCTGGGTTCGATTCCTGGCGTGATCATGGGTGCGCACTATTGAGGAGTCCCACACTAGGATGAAACAGCTGTCAAGTCCCCCTAGGTTCCCAATGTTCCTCCAACGAATGCCAGTTCATGATGAATACCAACTATAAAAAATCCCCACAAACCCCAAAATTAAGTGACTGTTTCGGCTGAAAATGTCTTAGCAGCATATTTTTCAAGTGTTAAATGTTGAGGATTCCAAACTGCATCAAAAATATTATCTAGAATAAAACAACGTGATTACTGATAAGAAAGAATGGCCACTTATACACAAAAAAGTCACAAAGGAAAAATGGTCGTAATCTGAACTTTAAGTAACAGACGGTCAATGAATAGTAATCTAACAAGCAGGAAATAAATTCCGACCAATAGAAGCTTGGCTGTAGTTTCGCCCTATTAAACATCTACTGGTTGATTTTCAATATTGGCGTTCAAAAAGCAGATGAATAAATTATATGTAAGTTTTGCTATAAACCAATCAACGAGACTTACTTTAGTGTCCATTTTCGGATTAATAATAAAATTGGTACATGCCTTCCAGTTTCCATAACGCATAGCTTTTGCAGCGGCTAAAACATGATCTCTAGGTGTTTCAGGTGGTCCGACTAGAGCAGCACGATCATGAACCCGTAGAGCCAAATGAAATGGTTTACTAATCGGACGCCAACGTAAGTCCGTTTCATGAGCTGATAGAATTAGGAAACAAGCAATACATGGTTACGTGTACTGTCAATAATAATAATAATAATAATAATAATAATAATAATAATAATAATAATAATAATAATATAATGCAGGAAAACAACTCTTTGAATGCAAAACACAAGAATGAATATTTACCCGCCAAATTTGGAATCTCCAGAAGCATTGCAGATACCAGATAAACACATTCGATCAGATCAATATTTATATACATATGATATGGCATTTGTAGGGCTTGTTCACGTTTCTCCTCTTCTGTAGTTTTCTCATACCTGGCTTGTGTATGAAGTCCTTGGGCGAGCAGTTCACGAATACGATTGGATCCAATCATATCAGCTAAAGCATTGTGAGCGTCACGGATATATGATTGACGGAAAGCACATAAACCAAGCTGAACCATCGCTCGATTATAAAGAATCTAAAACAAAACACCAAGTAAGATTAGAGAAATGGAAGACAGTAATGATAATACCAAATATAAATGTTACAGACAGGTAAGCAGGTAAAGTAAAGTACAACCTTACACGGAAGTGTATTGGTTCACATTGCTACAACTAACAGCAGCATCCAAGTAACAAGTGGATAGAAAAAGAGTGATAACAAAGTAGACAAAGTTGTGTGAGAGAATACACAATTTGAAGATAAAGGTTGGAGGAATTAATCAAGCTTTAGAAGACATTAAAGAATGAATACATCTGTGCCACTGTGACTGATTGTCAGCCATTCCACCAACATATCTCAACCACTGATTCCTATCTTCTCGGGGACCGCACCCCAATCAGGTAGTTTACACCTCCCTTCACACCTAAGATCAACAGTCACGGATCCAATGGACTGGTGTCACGTTTTAGTCTGACCACCTTGAACCATCTTCTAATCTGATCCAACTTCTTTTAGCATGGCACGTCGGAGTAGGCAGGGGTGTGGCAAGCGCAAGACATGACAAACCACCTAAGTCGATGAAGGTTCATAACCACATCGACCAACTTGTCTGTCTTGACTTCAGAATTGTTAACACGGTAATTTCACTTTAGTCGAATAATCGTATGAAGACATCTATCGTCAAACAGTTGTAACCGCTTCTACTTTCAACGGTCACGTCTCCCAACCGCATAACAGAACAGAACGCACTGCATCGTAGTATACTCGTTCTTTAATAGATACTCATATATCTCGCTGGCCCCGGAGATGATGGCATTAACGCTGCTGATGCTAGACTCAATCTCATATATGGTTAAACGTGGATCTCGCAGAAGAGCTCAAGACCACAACAAAACAGTCCAGTACTATCTCGTTTTAAGCGGTTCTCCAGAGGATGTCAACTAATGTCTTCAAATTGGTCGTGGTTGAAACATTCATTTTTACATTTTTTACATTTTTAGTTTTACATTTTTAGTACATCCCTATTGCTGTTGACAATCCCTCATATTGATATAGGTCATTAACATAACAGATAGTAACTGTAAACATGTTACTTCTTGTCAATGATAAAAGAACTCTGACATCATATTCTAAATACCAACAGCTTCAACAACCTTACATGAATTCTGAGAAGATAACACAGGTTTGAATGAAGAGGTTGTGCACATGCATAAAAAATTATATTTGTTTCAAAACAAAACGTAACGGTAGGCAGCAATGAGACAACCCACCTTCAAAAATAATGAAATAAAAACCAAGATTACAAAACAATCTGTTAAGGTGACATTTGAACCTTCTTAACAGAAAGATTTCCAAACTTAATTTTATCTAGATTATTTGAAGTTTGGTATGTAGTCAAACGTTATTGATTACACCGTTGTAGATCTACACAAATATGTGAAGTCAATGGTCGTAAATTTGGATCATTTAAACTGGGTTTTTTGGATAGAGTTCACCGAATAACTCTCTGTTACTACTATTTTCACGAACATTGTTATTGCGTTTCACATGCTGTTTTACCTATTTATCTGATAGACATTTTCGTTAGTTAGCACTAAAAAACAAATGTTGATTGGGATAAGTTTTAGCGATGAACGTATCTGATTCACCACTATTCCATTAATAATCAAAATCATACTTGACATACTTCCATCTGAGGACAGTGGTTAATAGGCAGTGTAGTGGGCGTTGCTGATAAGAATGGATATAAGTAGTATATGTTAAGAGGGTACCAGAAATTATTGGGAATTACCAGTAATGGGTAAGGATTCTGCCCAGAGAAACGTAAGAGACAATGTGGGCGTATTAAAAGCGAAGCAAGATAGAAGCAGAATCGAAAATGAAGCACATTATGCAAATGACTGTATTAGTGCAAGGTGTACCATATTTGATGACTACTGTACAAGATGTCAATAATAAACATTCCTTCGTCTTTTCGTTTCCTTCAGTAGTACTTAAAGTCTCAACAGATAATCCCTATCAAGATCAGTGGAACAATAGGAAACGACAGTTGACAAACATGGCTTAGAACCATCAGTGACGTGTTTTCATTTATTCTCCATCAATCGCAAACTTCTAGCAAAGTATTAATCCCAACTGTTTAGCTAATTATAATACCTTATATCCTGTTGATTTTCTGTTTCCATAATGTCAAGACAAATAGGGAATTGAAAGTGATATTTTACAAGTAATGAATTCTAATATGATTTGTCTACTCGCCTTTCAACTGAAAAAGTTGAGGTATATTCATAGGTTTATAAAGAAACAGTTAACTCATGAATACTACATCATAAAGGTTACCATAGTTGATTGATCTGCATGTTCAATTGACATTTGTAAATTGGACATCAACATGAGATCACGTGCTTTGAACCACTGATTGTAAAGAGCTAAATGATAAATTTGACAGAGAATAGCTCTTGTGCGTAGACGATCCGTTCGATCATGCGTATATATGTACTCACATAATTTTTGTATAACTAGAGTATTTGGATGAAGTCCAACGTTTTCCATACTTGAAGCTTCGACTTTACGACCCCAATCAAAATCGAACTGGAAGAGAAAAACATGGGATAATGAGTAATTACGTACACTAACACGAAAGAACTGACTAAATCTGAGAAGTTAACGACACAACACAGACAGCTTGAAACTCTCCATACGCTCAAGACTCGAACTCATACACTATGAGATCAACGAGTTGAAATGATAATGAAAAAACTAGTTGGTTAGTAAGCTTTTACGTACTGTGATTTGATCGAATGGGATAGTATTCAAGAAAAATGAGAAAAGTACGCAACAGACACACATGTTTGTTTACTAAGCTACGAATCACATCATTTGTATAAAATCTGTTGGCAGTGAAATCTCAGTTGGTGGTGCGCTGGCTAGTACCATGGTCAAAAATCTAATGACCACTTCAACAAACCAAAATTAACAGTCTACGGTAGTAGTAAATACTGAAAGTGACCGTGTACCGTGATATCATGAAACAAATGGCAGAAAAATAACCGAAGGGATTAGTGAAGATTCAGCTGAACAGGTAGAATTCCCACCTTATAGTACATGTGTTCCAATTTATGAAGGTATGCCACACACAATGCATCTGAAGGGAATTCCTTCTTCTCCAAGTATGCACATAAACGATCTATAACACTACAGACCCTGCGTTCATCTCGAAGTCTAAAATTAGAGTAAAAAAATGAGACAATATAGTAATGCGTTTTTATTAAGTAAAGTAAACAACATCATCAAGAAGAACAATTTAACACAAAGCTGGTTGAATATTAGGGTTTCGTTGATAACCACGCTGGAATGATAACAGATTAAAAGTAATCAAACAGGACTAAATCGTAGGATCATCATTTGATCAACATTTTCACCGGTAGTTTAGTAACAGATGACTAGGAAAAGATGCAACAAAATCCATCAACTTTGGAAACTTTTGAAATGTCAACCAGGCATTTAGCTAAACTTTGATAAAACAACGGATTATTTATTAATCAAGAATACATTTTTACAGTGTAGGATGTAGCTAAGTGGTAAAAATGTGTTAATTCGTTGGAGGCAATCGGAAGGAAGCTGTGGATCCAGGTTTCGTGCTTGTTGGCACCCGTCAGCAAGGCATATCTACAACCTTGAAGGAACTGATGTCCCCTATGAGATTCGAATCAGCGTCATCCAGTGATGCTGCCACCCAGCTATTCACTCTCCAATCAATTAACATCCATCAAACTGCACCCCGATAGTGAGCCTCCTTGCTTAGTGGTCACATTGTAAAAATGATTGACAGAGTTCGCCGGCTTTGCAGTGACCAATCAATACATGTAAATGTAAAACACTACAGCTACAGATATTCACTCAGTGCCCCTCAATGCACAAGAGCAACAAAACGATAGTGTAGATAGATGCCTATTATTCTAGGAATCAGTTACTACAAAAATCGACCTCCACTAGATAATAATAGATAGGTACACCAAAATGAACATAAAATCACAGTTATGCGATTGGTTGTGAGATACACATAAGGTTCTCCCGGATAAGATGGTTGTGGCAAGTTTGATCTTTGACTCAGTGAATGAGAGCTGAGTTTTTAATTCAGCGTACTAGAACTTGACAAATCAAGAAATATGGAGACAACAAGGAACATAACACATTTACAAATGAAAAGGACGGACAACAGTATGCATAATCTAACATAGGAAAGTATCAGTTCACGCTGTTACGCTTTACGGCAGCATACTTCAAAAATAGAAACATCAGAATTGGTTAACTTAATTCCGATAAAAGCTAACTTGGGCAAAAAATAAATTACCGGTCAACATATTCTGATTCATGGCCATTAGCATTTTGTAACACTTTGAAACATTCGACATCCAAAAGACCCACCACAGTTAATATAGACGCTCTAATACGATAGGGTTCAGTCTATTTTGAAATAAAAACAGAAAAATAATGAAGAGCTTATCATCAAGTAAAGATCAATTTTAAAATAAGGCGTAGACACATTAATGATTAGCTAGCAATTTGAGAAATGAAAATATGTAGTAAAATATGATAGTGAAGATACCCAACCAACAATAACAAGCTCCAATCACCATCAACGGAAGAAACTTAAAGGAAGTAGCCTCTTTCACCTATCTAGGAAGCACTGTTTCAACTACAGGCGGTGGCACAGACGAGGATGTCAAAGTCAGAATCGGAAAAGCAAGACAGGCGTTCATTAACCTGAAACCAGTGTGGACATCTTCTGCACTCCACTCAGCATGTGGAACAAGATCCGGATTTTCAACACCAACATCAGTCAAGTCAGTGCTTCTGTATGGCTCAGAGACTTGGCGCATTACGAAAGGGATTCCCAATAAACTACAGACATTCATCAACAACTGCCTACGCTGGCTCGTTACTGAAGATCAGATGACCAGGAAGAATAAGCAACAAGCAACTCTGTCTGTCTGGCTGGCAACGAACCAACCAAGAACCCATCGCTCAACAAATATGCAGAAGCAAGTGGGCATGCACTGAGAAGGCCGACTGGGGACATCACGCTCTAGGTCAGGCACTCGAGTGGAACCCAGATGGGAAACGACGAGTCGGGCGTCCCAGCTGAGGGTGACATGGAGAAGATTTTGTGAGGAAGAAATGAGAGCTTGTGGGCTGTCGTCGAGCCAGGTTCAAAAGTTTGCAGAGAACAGAGTGCTCTGGAGATGTGCTACTGAAGCCCTATGTTCCATTAGGAGCCCAAGGGACAAAAGTTAATAATAATAATGATAGTGAATAAAATATGTTCGAAGGGTAGTATTCATGCAACTGAATTAAGTGAAATTCAATGCAGCTTGGCGATTTTTTATAGATTTATGAACCAGACTACGAACAAAACTTGGGTACAATGGTTTATGATCCTGTGCGGTCAATTACGAAGGAAGTTTGAATTGAGGATCCGTTGTTTGAAACTAGAGTGTACCAGTCAATGTACTACATATCTTGTATTGTTTGTTGAAATTAGGGTTAACTGAAGTGTTGGAAGGTGAAACGTTTTTAGCCTATAGGTGAGCAATAATAAGTATCGTTCTAGCTTGATGCACACTGATAAGAGATAATTCCCTATCTTGAGTCTCAGGGGCGATTAAATGACAAGAAGAGACAGAAATGAATATAATTACAGTCAGTGGGAATTCGAATACAGTTTCTTTCTGTGTAAACAACCAGATTCGTTAAAAAAGAAGAGAAAACTGCTAAGAATTAATTCTATCACATCATCTGACTTATCTCGATGACATTTAATCCTTCAGTTGGTACACCCCTAACTGACATATACACACCGATGAGATGTATTTCAGCAACTACGATAAATTAAATCATCATGAAATGATATTGATACTGAATGAAAACTAAGAAACCGGAAAAATTAATAGTGTTACTTTAAATTGCTTCAGAACCACACACACACACACACACACACACACACACACACACACACATATACACATATCGCCACTAACCTTAAAATATTTCAAGTTGGATGAAAACCTACATCAATTTTATTAAACGTAATTCCTATTAGGAACTGTATACCACCTGATAGCTCCATTGGTAAGCGAAAAAACATACCTCAAATGATTCATCTTCATTAGAAGCCAATGGTATTAATTCAACGTCAATTTCATTCAAGAGGTCAAATAAACGATCGAACGCGCTGATGGTTCTAAAAGAAAAACGATTTAAAAAAACAACAACATTATTTAACTCCTAATGACAGATAGTGTTGACTCAGACTACCAACTTATTGAAACACAATTTACAATTAAAGCATAGCCAAGGTTCTCTTCTAAGCGGCAAGTAGGAACGTCCGTACAAGAAGCTGGAATCTTATTACAAGTCTGGTGACTAAATCAGACTTTGTCGCTACTTGAGTTAACTTTCAAAAATAAAAAAATCAACTGGACTACTTTCAGCATTATATACACACAAGGGTTTGTACTCCAGTGATTACTGATAGCAACTTTATTACTGTAGAATTACTTAGCTTTGGCACAGGTTGAATTAACTTCGAAAACCGGAATTCAACGTATCAAAGGGCTAAAAACCACCATATTTGTATGTTTATCGAAAATATGTTCACCAAAATTCAATCATTCATGAAGAAAAGCAATGCCTATAGCATCTTTTTTCAGTGAATTTTAACCTATTCCTAATCGAAATATCCTTTTTTTAAACAGTGCGGATTTCACTGAGGCGTATCTTACAAATTATTGCATGGAGAAGAATCTTATCGAAAACTTTCGATATACAGTGCTTCTTCAATGTGTAACTACAAGAGAAATAGCTGAATAAATGGTTTACTGTCTACATAAATTAGTCAATGTCTCACGTTACATAAGCGATCAGGTGGTCTGATTGTCTTTCAGATTGGTTATTTCTGAAAGCAACTTTCGACGAAAGTGCAGGTATCGTCTTGGTTGAAGCAGTACTTTGAGTTAGTCAGAGTATGTCCCTAGTGGGGATCATGGGTGTACACTACTGAGTGCCATACTACGACAAAACAGCTGTCTACACCTCCCAGGTTTTCAGTGGTTCTCCAGTTGATGTTAGTCTATGATGAGTACGAAATCTCGCACAAACCTCCACACTGAAAAAAATTCAATCAATGTGAAATGAGGGACGGAGAACTTTAAAGTTGTAGGGGAGGAATGAAACAGAGCAACAAGTAAGAAGTTATCTCGGTCAATGTTGATCGTAGTAGTGACTTCATCGTCAATGATCTATCGAAAAATGAACATTATAAAAAGTTTTTTAAGAAAATAAAACATATCTATGCATAACATAGACAACATACCGGTCAAATGCAGTAGCACTCATACAATCGTGCTTTTTATCGTAATCGAACAGAATGCTAATAAAAGCGAACAGTAATTTAGCAAGTAACCCACGAGATAGGTTGTATTCCTCTGAAAACAAAGAAAGAGATTAAGGTCTTTCATGGTGTGAAACAACAAAATTGCTTTGTAAGACTATAAAAAACAGCACCCACATCATCGTCTTAGTAGAAATGAACAACAGTAAAACTGAATATAAAGTGACAGACTCGAGTAAAATGAGGAATTAGTCACACAAGAGGACAACAAAACAGAAGAGAGCAAGAGTTTTACCAACTCACTTAGGTACAGAAAACGATTATTACACAAATATCACACCATCAGTTCAAAGCTGAACACATACAAAGAATGATTCAATACTTGTTCAGAATACATGAAAAATCCTACTATCCTTAATAAATAAGCAGGCAAAGCGATAGCAAATATGAAATTTAGATGTTAATCTTATTAAAACTACGGAGAATCAATTGTGTTAAATCTTGAGGTAGCATTCATCCCGGACTGACATCAGTTGGAGGAATATTGGAAATCTGGGCAGTTTCATTCCAGTACAAGACTACTCAGCAGTACGCACCTACGATACGACTACGGAAAAGAACTCAAAATCTCCAGGTTTCACGGTGAATGCGTTAACTATTCAGCCACTGGGTCGGAGTTCAGTGGTTCACAGTTTCCAACTTCTGTAATTCGCGAGATAGCGCGACTATCACCCAAGGTCTTCAGATGGTATCTGCTTACCTTCCGACTGGTTGACCTCACAGGTCACAGTTTCTTATTAGAACTTCCCGATATTCATCTAGAAGCACGTCACTAATGAGTATTATGAAGTAGTGTGTTTTTGAGACGAATACTACTTAGGAATTTAAGTCCCGTTCATCGCAAAAATAAACTGTGTTAAAGATTATCCAATGTACCATTTAATAATAGTAACAATCGTAGCAGTACCAGTAATAATAATGCAGATTAATCAGGTGTATGTTTATGCACCAGGTTATCAACTGCAAGCTGTGATGTCAAGTAGGTGGAGCGGGTTTTGAACGCAAGACAGAGCATACATTATCGCTTTACTGTGTTATTTACCATGAACAGCATGGAATTATGTATGACAGTAATCAATTACTACTAATATATGCTAGTAAAACAGCCCCTTCCTCAAGCACCTCAAATCCGATAGACTGATTTTTCTCTCTTTCTTCATATCTCACCTTACTGGCTTCTTACTTGTTGCGCTGACATGAGGTGTGACAACTTGGACCGTTGTGAAGTAATAGCTAGTCCTATGTTAATATTGATTGATTGATTGTATCAGTGAGTTGAGCTAAACGATCTGAGTTTCTAAATCATGCATACTGTTTGTTCACATCAAAGTCTTTCATTTTATTGATCCACTTATGTAAAAAGTAGGCAGCTCGATCGCTCAAAAGGATAGCCAACACAAACAATCAGCAGTTACACAGGCATCATTAGAAATTATGCGCACACCAAATCCTTATGACTCCACATACGTTTAGTTTAATTGACATGAAACACAAAAACAATACGAAATGCCCAGAGCATTATTCTTAAACTACAGATTAGCCTGTTAACTTACCAACTAGTAATATAAGAAACGATCACTACGTAGAGAATAATCATCCTTATAAGCAAGGGAATACGATAGACATATTAGTGGGTTTCATGACATCCAAGAGTAAACGTTTGACTGATTAGTTTAAGCATTTCACTCTCAACTAATGGATCCCCGGTTCGTAGTCCACTCCATCTAAGTCAGACTGGGTGACCAGGTAATATCAAACAACATGTGTGACTCATAGCTCAGAAAATAAACTTAGACCGGTGTGAGTTGAATAACATTACACTGCATAAAAGAATGACATAACCAGTCAGTGATTGGTTGTTATGCTTTTCAAATAAAAGAAATGCACACATCCCATTACAATTATTATCAAACCACTAGGATATTCATCACCTCTTACAGATACTCACACAAGAAGCTCACCAAAACACTTTCTGAAAAAAACTTACTTATTTTTTCCTCAACTTGCATCAGCAAAACAATTTGATCACTCGTACTTGCACCTTTTTTACCACGACTAGCCAAAATTTCTTCCATTTTCTTTACAACAACCTCAAAAGTGATTTCTTGTCCCTTTTCAAAGGCTTGAACTTGAACTTCTGATCGTCCATAAGAATCAATAGTTGTCCATATCCCATCTTCTAGTTCAGCTGCAGCTCGTAACTGCTTCTTAGTTGGTCTATCTTTGGCGAGTTTTTTAACTTTAGATTTATCCTTAGAATCAAGCGAAACATAAGAAACAGTTTTATCAGGATTGTTACACAACAAAGATATAATACATAGATCAACAGGATGAGCGAACAAAATTAGACAGTACATTGAAAAATAACGACTACCGATTTGAATGCTATAGGAAATCTTTGGTTCAGATGACAACAAATAGATTCAGTGAAGAGACAATGAAATAAAAGTTATATTTGTGTATGGCTTAGATACAGAGTTAAGTGTACTGCAGTGCATTTCTTTTAGTGGACAACTTTGAAATAAGCCCACTTGTAAAATAGTGTCATTAAACAAACAGTAACTAATATTGATAATTTGCTTGGTTGTGGCTAGCAGAAGAATCCAGGACGCACGTTTCATCCTATTTGGGACTCGTCATTATCATAATTAGCATTCAGGCAATATCGAGGCATTCATATAGCAGCCCATATGCCAATAGATGTCGAACAATTCGATCCAATGAAACAACGAAGAATTACAAGTATACCAATGAACAGTAGTAACCAATAGTACTGATTAAAATTATCATAGATAAATTTTATACGATGTTGATTTTAGAAGATTCTACCGAGTTATTGTGATAATTTGTTCTAAACGTAGCTTAAATAACATGCAACCTCGTAAATGTATACAGATCTGTGCACCATACTATGAATTATATCTATGTGGTGAGGGCAAAAAGTATATACTAGCTTTCTAAAGCTACACAAGTATGGCAGGGTTTTACTATACAACCACCCACCGGTGTGCAGTTTCACACTTGAGCCAGTGAGCTGTAATGGAAAAGAAAAAGGTGTCAACTGAACAATTATTTAAGTCTGAAAGTGGCAGACAACGGTTTTAGCCCACTACTACGAAACTTCTTCTCAGTACGCCAAGGACTGTGCAATTCAGTCCAAGACCTTCATGTTCAATAGCGAGCATATTAACGCATATAATCAACAGTAATAGGTGATATGGAGAAAATAATTTTGAGAAACATTTTAGTATCACTTTATGTACCAAGAAGAAAAGTAATATGAAAATTTTCAATATAAAATTGAGCTATATGAAATTTCTTTTAAAAGCTGAAAGTTATATCTTACCTTTTTATCATCAGAAGTATCTTTTAAAAAGTATACTGAAGGATCCTTACAGCGTTCCAAATTGATATCAATGCTGCTAGTACTTGAACTATCATCATCAGAAAAGTCATCACTGTCACTATCATCTGTATCATCGTCATCATCTTCTGAATCTGATGCGATTGACTTTCGTACAGGTTTCTTCACAGCAGTAGATAAACTTGATGGAGCCTAAGGAGAAAACGTCAATGTTAATTAATAGAAAAACCTCAGATAAACATAAATTTATAAAATAATCACTTCACCTTAGCAAGTGACAGACTGATATTATTACTATTATTATTATTATTATTATTATTATTATTATTATTATTATTATTATTATTAGTCCCTTGGGTTCCTAGTGGAACATAGAGCTTCAGTAGCACGTCTCCAGTTAACTCTGTCCTCCAAAATCTTTTGAAGCTGCCTCCACGACAGCCCACAACCTCTCATTTCCTCCTCGCACGATCTCCCCCATGTCACCCTCAGCTGGGACGCCCAACTCGTCGCTTCCCATGGGGATTCTACTCGAGGGCCTGACGCGTGATGTCCCCAGTCGGCCTTCTCAGTGTATGCCCAATCCATCTCCACTTCCTCCTGCATATTTGTTGCATGATAGGTTCTTGGTTGGTTCGTTCCCAGATCTCCTTCAAAGCACAAACGAAATATAAAAAATAAAAACAAAATTATTCCGCGCCGGAATCGGAGAGGCGAAATGACGCCAGTTGGTGAAAGCCTTCGGGAAGCCAATTGGCCGATGTGTCTTCTCTCGATGAAAGCGACAGACTGATATGCTGAACTATAATCCAGATTCCCACTAAACAGCTGTTACTGCATTCTATATTCTTTTTAAAACAACACGGAACACTTGAATGAATGGATGGATGTTTACACAATTCAGTCACAAATTTACAAAGTATCCACTGTCAGAAAATAGTTACCTTTGCTAATGGAGGTAATGTTTCTTGCTCATTTACTTCAATATCTAAAATATAGAAGTTAGTGAATCATTAAAAGGAAAGAAAAAAATCAAAATACCAGAAATCCCAGGCTCTTCGTCCAAATAATTTTCCGAGTTCTATAAATCAGGTATAGATTTTGCTAACAATAATAAGCTTACTTCACGAAAATCACGAATCTCTGCTTCAAAAAGACGAGTATACTTCTTTACACGTTGTTTTAATGTAGCTAATGATTTTACTGCTCCTTTGTTCATATCCTTTTTCTTTTCCCATGAATCATTTACAAAATCTTCAAGTTCAGCTATACAACGAACATAAAATGGTGGTACACCATCGAAATCGTTCAATTGAGTGGATTTTTCATAAACTTTTACTAAATTCTGGAAATCTATATTCGTTTAAGTAAAAGATATGACATCAAGTTTTATTATGCTAGTCATACCTATGATGATATTCGACATATCTTTGATTTTCTTATGATTGTTCAAGTTCTTTATTATACTTTGCATTTCTTCACATCTATATGATTATAAAATAAAGAATAAAGAACATATTCACATACCGTTTATTGCGACCACTTTTAACAATACGTTTGGTATCTTCCTCATCACTGGAAAAGTGTACTGGACGTGATTCAATGCGCCTGACTGGCTCCTCATCCTCACTCTCAGAAGAACTAAATATATCTGCATACATTTCTTTCCCTGAAAATACTAAAAGTATACCATTTAAGTAAACAATTACTAGATAGAGTAAATTTAAAACTGATTATCAATAAATGTCACATGAAAAACTTAACGAAAAAAGGTAAAATATCATTTACACTATACAAACCTGAAAAAAATCTTAACAGAGCATTAAACGTCTCCCCCTCTTTATCATGTTTTTATTTTTCAAAGTTTGATTCATAATATAAATCTTTTTACACTGATATTCCAAAAGACCCAGCTCTCTAACTTTTACTCTCAGTTAACTCTGAAGGCATTAATAGTAGTATATATATAGTTTTTAAAAATTCATGAAAATGTGTTACTACTCCAATTCTATATAACACACTGCTTTTACAGACGATATAAAAAACGAGAAAACATGAACGATAGAGAATGACCGATACGTACATTTATTCACTAAGCAAATCGAATGTGAACAACCCTAGCCAATAAGATTATAGTCATTGATTGTTGTCAAGATACATTGAACACTGAAGAATAGTTCACTGTCTTCAGCATGAAACTATTCAGTGGAAGTTTAAAAGTAATACTGAAATTAGCCACTTAACTGTCATACAAGCTGAGTATATGATAGGTTTTAAAAGATTGATTTGAATCTTTTGTATTGTAATAGAAGATTACTAATGTGCATGTTACAAACCCGGTCTCGTCTTCATTGTTTTTGCGGGCTTTTCAAACTGTCATCTAATAACCCATCATAAACTGTGCCTACAGTTTAGCTGTATGATGTGTTCTACTACATTACTTGTGAAAAATGGTTGATTGTAACTTGCATGGAAATGTGACATTTATTTGATCACAACTGTCTCTATAGCGTTTCTTGTTTCTTGTTCACAACATGGCTTCTCGAGAACGTAAGCTAAAACGGTCGACGGTAAAATTTCACTGACTTTTACCAATGAAAAATGTTAATTCCTTTAGTTTACAACTTTTACAGTGTCTCAAAGAAGTTTCTCAGGTTTGGTTTATGATATTACTGTACAGTAAAGTTGTCTAAATGATATTCTCTACAACTATTGATTTTGAGAGCAATCACATGATTTTTTTTAATTCTTGGTATATTTTCAGTATTTTTTGGCTTCTCTTTTGCACTGTTAAGGATTTCTAACTGAATGAACAAATAAACTCCTATTTCATCGAAACCAGTTGTTCATAAACGTCAGATTTAAAATATATGAAAGGTTCGATATGACCGAGGTAGATATCTCGGTGAAGTAACCGAATTTCTCTTTGGTTTTCGAAACAAAGAGCTAAAAGATATTTTTCTGTTTAAGCTGATGTTACAGAAAAACGCTTTTATAACAGAAGATAATTCTCAAACTACCAAGACAGAATTTAAGGGAAGAAATCAAGCAGCCCTGTACAGCTTTTTTTATCATGTTACATATCACATTTGTAATGATAATATCAATCATTTTCAGAAATCGCGGTACGCGAAACCAGAAGGAGAAATAAACATAAACCGAGTATATCAGAAACGATTTTCAATCCCGTACATCAAACGCCAAACTTCCTCACAAGTCATCGGTAACTAATGGAAGATTTTATAGGATCCTACTATACCAAATACAATTCAACGAGAATAAACCCTATTAGTAACTTTTTCCGCAAACTATGCACATATCTTTGGGTTACCACCCTTTTTATAAATCAATTGTCAGGACGTCTCTTGTGCGTTCATCTAAAACAAAGTGCATGCTAGTCTAGATCTCCAAGTACCCTAGTTTATGAGTTACAAGTGGAAGTCCAGATCGTGTCGTTGATACTCGATGAAAACAAAAAGAGGTAGATACTCGAAAAATGGAACCCATCACACTGAGTAAGGAGTTATGATCAGTTGAGTTTATTTGTTTTCTGTTGCTTTAAGTGAAAAACATTATAATAAACGCTCTCCTATCGACAAAGTTCAACACTAACTTCAAAACAATATCCAGTGTGACTGAGTAAACAACCAAATTCAGCGGATAAATTTAACTGGTACACTGCATATCAGAAATGAAGCATACAGTTCTTTTACCTGTGCACATTTGAATACATACTGTCGATTGATAAGACAGACGTTTCAGTCTCAATTATAAGAGTTAAGTGTGGCTTAGGCGCTTGACGATTAAACATTAGGTCTTGAGTATGAATTTTGCCGTACCAAATTTGACCTGAACAATCCAATAAAACCACAAGCCCTGCACAACCTAGAATATAATGCTACACTATCAGGTGTTTAAGTTGCATTAAGAATCAAATACAAATGATAGAAAAATTCGTATTGATTTAAGTAAGCACGCTGTTTTTACAGAATGAACAAGCAGGTTGGTTTACAAACACAGACTGCGTTTCCCTATACGAACAACAAACGCTGATGTAAAAGCAGATAATTCAATAAATGAAAGCCGTTATCGATTTGTATATTGTTCACAGGTAAAACCACTCAACCGCAGTGAGATAAATATACTTACTGTCTATCCTCCCTACAGTTAGTGATATGATCTATTTAAGCTAGAGTTTGGGCATCAAGTAATTTCATTATACGTACAGAAATTCGAGTGAAAGGTAACTGAACACGTACCAGGGTCAGGTTAGAAGTTAAAGGAGGTGAAAAACACAAATTAGTACACTGATCTTGGTTACAATGCAAATTACTGATAGGGGAGGAATGTGGTTAGAATTTATGAAGCCATAAAAGTAGTCTCAATTTCTTATTAGTTGTTGCGTACTTCTCAAGTAGCTACTTTCTGTTTCACTTCTATCATTGTTTAACTGTTGTCTTCTCTTGATAAAGAGAAATAATGGGGCAGCCCGAATAAATTTAATGTTGTGCTGTGCTTTTATGTGGTTTTAGCAGGAACGATAAATTACATTAGCACAATAGCCTAGGTAGTCGGTTATTGACCACATGTATGCAATATAACGCAGTATATGTTTATCCTTTAGGCTTTGACACACTTGTTAAGCGAAGGTATACGATAACATCCAGCTAACTAGCCCAAAATAGGTAGAGAGATGATCGAATCTAGAGTTCATTACTTGAAAGTTGAGTTCAAAAGTTAATAAGCCGTATGGAATACAGTAAAAAAATTCACCACGTGATTCCATCTCCATAAACACATCAATAAAATAAAAATTAGTTTTGTCTGGTAAACAAGACAGTAACTGACCATTTTTGTATACTTTTTTTATTACTTCCTTTCTAAATGGCTGGATATGGGATTGAAAAACTACCATGATGAAGAACCCGAAGGAAAGAAGTTTAGGGACAAAAAAGCTATAGTAAACAGGAAGGGAATCGTCTGCCGCTTGATGTCATATGTATTTAGACAGATAAGAAAATAAATGGCACCCAAAAAAATTAACATGAATCAGTTTTCTTTGCCGACAATGGATAGAAGCATGTAACAGTGAACTGCACTTGAGCCACTTGCCAGCCCATGCGTTTGAATGTTTACACAGTATATCGGATATTACTGAGGTTCAATCAATTGCACTGCGAGTACAAAGCATTAATTACACCTAAAAAGTTAATTTGTTCAACATAATTGATGAGTTGCGTAAATTAAGTGGCATGCTAAATCTTCATCTGGTTACCTACCTACCTCAAATCTCAAAGTAGTAACTGGCTGTTCCAAACTACGTTGTTTCGCAACATGAATCCTAGTAAGGGGGATGACGTGGCTCTCTGCATCGTTTGCTCTCTCAGACTATGCTGCAAAAATCTTGATTTTCGAGTTCAATCTTTTTAATATCAACTTTGTTACGAAAAGTAGGAGCGACAATTCCACCAAGAATTGCTTTTTCAAAATTAAAAAAAATAGAATTAACCAAGATATTGGGTGGGTGACTCGATAGAGAAATAATCAAACCCCTTGTCACCTCTATGACCGATAACTACTACTTCCAATCGGCGGTCAGGCTTGCAAGCAACGATGATCAAACAAGCTGTATTGCCTGAAACCCTTTTCCCTGAGGTTCTACCGTGCCAGAAACGTTTTCTGGATGGCGATAAAACAAGAAGCAGTTCCCGTTATAATGTACATAGCCACGCTATGATGCGAGTTCGATGGCAATGTTGCCCTGCTAGCTAGACGGGATTTGACAGCAGTAGTGTTTCCCTAGAAAGATTAGCGGTCTATGCTGATGCTACCATCCCTACGGGAAAGGTAACAAAATGGTTGGTCCTACGGTTTTCTGGAACTAAAATGCACTCGGTAACCACGTGCACGTTCGTACAGTAGACGATTAGCTATATCTATTGTGTGACGGTTGATGATACCAACTGACCGCCAAAACCTCGGCAGGTGGAGGGGTTCGGAACAGTGATTCATTAGTTGGAAGTCGAATGCTTACGGTTTTCCGGAGATAGACATCTGGGTTATCTTCTGGTACGACGTTAGTGCAATAGAATCTCAACTCTTACTTCTTAAAAATGCTGTGTATGACTGGCCTTGAAGAGATATCCCACCAAGCTTGCGGTCATGCAAAATGAATGCTTTTTCTCTCTCAGGTATTCTGCAGAAACAACTTCCATAGTGTAGGCGGATCATGAAGTACTAACCACCTGCACGTTTCCAGCAACATACAACACCAAAATAACCATAGCTTATTTTCTTTACCTGTCTCCTCTCCTGTCTGCACTTCCCGATACCAAGATTAGGTCTCTTGAAACTTCCTTAACATCTGACCTTCAGACTATTGCTAACGATCAGAGCCAGAAACACGTCATCTACAATTTTTAAGATCCATGGTGTCAATTCTAAATTGGGGCAGTCAACATCCGAACTCTCTACTAAGTTGGGAAAAACATCTCTCTCCAAAACTGAAATCTCGAGACAGTTGTATGCTATGTTTCTGAGACACGCATACGGGACCCATGTGGTTATTTGCATGGCCTCACCTGACCAATGTGGTGAATTTGCCAAATTCACTTTACGAGTGTCTCAAGATTCAATGGTTAGCTCCTGTGAACTAGCTAGTGTAGTGAATAGAAAGTGCACTGCTCAACTGAATACTAATCAAGAGTCATCCATGCATCGTTCAACTAAATAAATCTGTAAGAACTGGGAAACGACAATTGTTAATGTGTTCGTGATATCCGTTTACGTACTCACCGTCTGTAGTTCAGAAAATACAAAGAATGACTGGCGAAAAACTGTCAACCTTACTGTATAAAGCAAAACGTTCAGATATACCAGCAGGTGGCTCCAAAACTCCAGTAAGCAAACAGCCGATTGGAAAGATTTCTAGGAGGCATCTACGGTGTCTGACGCCAACGAAATAACAACAATGATCGCCACTTACAATTTTTTGAAGACTACTTTCTGATTAGTACTACCTTAAAGCATTTGAAGACAGTCTTACTTGGCGTCCACCACCACCAAATTTACAGTGATCGTAAGTAGACCATAAGGCCATAAACCACTACACGAGATGATTGAGAGAAAATTGCTACTCTTTCTGGAGTACCCACTTGGACTTTAATAAAGTGTTAGTACGGGTCATCATCATGAAAACCAACATAGGGCCAGGCACAGGCCACACCTCATACCACCACATCAAGTAACAATGTAATGAAATGGAAGATGAGGAAAGAGAAAAAACCCGTCAAAATGAGTAAAAAAGTAGTAAAAAGGAAGTAGGAATGGGGAACTGATCAGATTAAGTAAAGCGGATAATGTGTATACAACTGCACCACTAACATCAGTTCTGAGCTATATCACCTAAAGTCTCCAACCACTAGTTTCTCTTGTTCCGTGGACCCGAACCGGCTAGTCTGTATCGCCTGACGTGGCTCAAACAAACAGCTCACTACTTCATGCATTGATGCAATGTTTTAGTCTAGTCGACCCGGCCGCTCTACCAGCCTGAACCTACTTCGGACAACATTGTGCGACGAGCTGGACGGTGGTTAGGCATATGTAACACATGTCACAGACATCTCAGTCGACGAAGGTTCACCACCGCACCAACTGACTCCTCTTCTCTCTAAAACCCCACGCCTGACTACTGCTTCAACTGGTGACACCGCGAAACACGGCCTATTCTACGAAGGTAACGGTAGTCAGACATCTGAAGCCTCCTCATATCTTCTACCTTTAATGGCTATGTTTCATAGTCATACAGTAGAACAGATTGGACTGCAGCACAGTGCATTTGACCCTTACTAGACAATCAGATATCGTGGTGGTGCCGAAGATGGCGTAAACTGGCAAAGTCCGACAGAGCTTTTTGTATCGGTGCAGAGATTTCGTCGGGTACGTGCTTGTTTTCACCTTAATGCATACAAGAAAAAAATAGCAGAGGCCTCTGTGCTAAACTGGGACGAAAACTTGGAGTACGTATTTTCAGAAGGGATAGCTATTCTCATTCACCTGAATACGGTAGTACTTCTCTTCTTGATGAAGCTCTTAGTAATATTAGTAGAAAGAGGTAAAAGCAGTTGATAATTTACATTCAAGGAATGGTAAAAGCCAGAGGATTTCCGCAATGAAATCCGAACTGACTGATGCAGGGAAACTCATTCTAGCTGGTTCTCATAAAAGAGGAGCGAACGCAAGTTAAACGTAAACTGACTAAGCGTCTTCGTGATGACCACTAGCAGAGGTTGGTGGTGAAAGTAATATGGCAAACATCACTACAATACAATGCGCGACAATAATTTAGGTTTGTTGAGGATACCGGCAAGAAAAAGATGATTCTTAGTGTTTCATAGCCAAAAAGGACAGATCCGTGATGACCTCTTTGGATAAGTGACTACAAAGCCGAATGAAACACTGAGGAACAGTTCAGTTGGCCAACAGCAACGTTTGATTTTCTCACCATCCGGCCAGAGCCTGAATGAGGCGTAGATGCCTATCCACCAATTTTCCTTGAAGTTGAGAAGGCTGTTTTGAATACGGACCGGTGCAAATCAGCAGGATCTAACTGTTCAATACCAGAAGTTTCAAAGTGCAAAATAACCTGACGCTTACTTGGATCTCGAGAACGGCAAACTCGAGAAAACGGGATAGGTTTCATACCTGGACCACGGTGCAGTTATTAGGTCTTCTATCGAAAACCTATAGAACACAAGTATACTTACTGCTACTTGCTAATTGCCATATTTGTTGACGTGAAAGCGGCATTCGACTGACGACCGGTATTGCGACAGTGTCTACTTGTGCAGACAGTATCAAACAATCTTAAGTAATTTAAAGCTTTCTAATCGTGTACGTGGAGCTGTGTAAGGGCCTACGGATTGCCGTTATCTGAAATGATAAAATCCAGTGGTGTCCACCAGAGATTATCGCTGTCGCCATTACTGTTTAAAGTTATGGATGTACTGATTGACATATCTCTGGGTAACTCATGCTTTACTAGATTTGACTAACTGCTTGGAGGATATCTTAATTTGCCTTATAGTAAGAAGATATGGACCTGCCAGTCGATGCTGACAGAATAGTCTTTCGAACGCCTTGAACGAAAACCTGAGTATTTATTTGTTAGGAGCCAACCACTTCACATACTTTTGGAGTTTCATCAGCCAAAGTGAGTTGGGTGCTGATGGAAATATCAGGTCGGATACAGAAGTCTTATTTGGTGTTTGCAAAATGATGCCACCAATGGTACCAGCGAGATTTTCGACTCCCCATAAGAAGACTGCAGTGTGCTGCACCCCAGTCTGTTCTGTTATAGGGCTGAGACTTAGTTGCTGAAAAAAGATCACATGAAGTGGTCACAAGTTTTCGACCACAGTTATCTTGGCAGCATTCGTGACTTGCATTGGAATCATCACGTGAAAAATGTCGAGGTCGGTTGAAAGGTACTATGCAAGGAACGTGAATCAGTTAGGTTATGAATTTCGACAGACTGGGATGACACAGACAAGCATTGCATGTGCCCAGCCACCACCAACGTTAATGAGAGTTATTCAAAATGGGATTGGGTCTGGAGGAGGCTCAGGGTGACAAGACTAAGACGTGACATCAACCTATGAATCCTCCAAGTTATGTGGGGAGGTGTGGAATATCTGGTTGGGGCATCTAGAGGCTATAAGAATCAATGGTTGACGAATCTATGTATTATGGATGAAAATCGATTATAATGGTCCTGATTTATTCACTCCATGTCTTGTTAAGTTGTAGCATCTTCACATACCTTTATTTTTTAAATATTCATCCTTAGATACTCTTTTCGATTTTGATATCACTTTTCCACCCACTTTCTTCACATAATGCTGTGATGTTGCAGCTCGGACCAGTGTACTTGCGTGCGAGGTTCTACTTTGATTGTTTGTCTGTACATCCTCAGAAACTAGTCCTCGGTGAACAATCTAATGGTCTTCCCATTATTAGGAGAGATCATGTTATCTGGTTTTAGTATATTTCCAAAACAGCTAATTCTTTAACTAATATCGCTGGGACTTTAAATGATTTGATGTTGAAGTCATTCGTAGGACTGTAGGACGTCAAATGAGACAATAACCGACTTTGGCAAGCTATAAATACCAATTTCATGTGCATACTTGACAAGAACGTGTTAATGGCTATTCTGAACCAGTTTTAACTCAGGCATGTTAAAAAACTTGATGTTACACGTTAGCACACAGCCCTTTTAAGATTGAAGTAACAACATCCGATTAAGTAAAAGAAGTTGTCGGTCCATTTACAAAAAGTTTGAGTAGACAAGTCCTGACGATTAACCCTTTTGATAACATGCTTTGCAATCAAGTAGCAGCTTACTGTGTTTACGTCCAGCACAAAAATCGTTTTATGTCATGCAGTATGGTTAATATACGGCATGGTGCTTGACATACACTCGAACGTGTGGCCGTAGGTATATATGGCAGTAAACGTTGTCTCCTATGACCTTAATTCTTATGGTGACTAGACTGCGTTACATGCCAACGACGCCCATCACCCGATAATAAAATTTTGAACAGTCTAACAACAAGTGTTTCCCGATAACCTTCACTAGGTTAATACAACCTCAGCTCGAATTTAGGACGTCTCATCTCCACTTTAAAAGGATGAGAACAAGCTGGAATGTATCCAAAGATGCTGCACTAAATCGGTTTGACGACTACAGTCCAAAACACTTGAGGAAAGCACGGCAGTACTTAATACACATCGTTTATTATATTAACGGTTAAGGGGTGAATTTATAGTGATTTATACTGCTTTGAATACATCAGGTTTCCTATTTCGTTGTTTAAGGAAAGCACCAAAATAGCTTAAACAAGATATGGAAGGGTTGATAGTAGAATTACTTCCGACTCCTCAAGAGTCAAGAAATGCTTCCATGTATCGGTTGCTAACTAATTCCTGATTTTCAGTAGCCAATCAAGTCAACAAACACATGACTCATTACTTCAAGATGAGAAAGCTACATGCGTTAAGGCCTCTTTTTCCGAAACAATAACCACTGAAATTCGACAAGTTTCAGGCTTTAAGAAAATGTCATTCTTTAAGGAATGCTACTACCAGTTTATAGCTGTTACATTCATATGCCTGCTAGGAATACCTGCCAACCTCTACAAGAAGTAAACAATGAATACAACCAAACAACGCTGTAGATTATCTTAAACTAACAGATACGTAACATTATTCAAAGTAGGAAATCTCAAAATTTTCTGCGGAAATAAATCGGCATCCCGCTGAAAGCCCTTGAAACTTAGCAACCTTTTAGGTGGTTTTTTAGTTTCATATCAAATTTCCTGAAATTTTTTAAGACCTGTCGAAATTTAAGATATTTTTATTTGAAGGTCAGATGAAAAACAGAAAAATAAAAACTAGCTAGTAGGTAACACTTTAGACAAGGCTTGAATGCACTCTGTAGAATACTACGAGAAAAATAAAATGGTATCAAACAGTCTCAAAACCCAATTGATTTTAGGATGTCCTTGAAACCTAACAAGACTAAGAACATACCTCGTGCACGTACCGTAAAAGTCAAAAGTGGTGGAGTGCGCACTAAGTCCAACGTAGAATGCTGGCTTATGTTCCAATGTGTAGGCTGACATTTAACCCTTCATATCTCAATGCTATAAGTAGTTGTCTCTTTCTGAAATTGTATGAGATAACGATCACTTTGGACTCACTCACAAAAGAACTTCAGTTTTTGGAGTTCACAACCATATTATTTGCTTACATATTACGGAGTCAAACTTCTGCTTGTGACGACAGCCATTAGCCTATATGTTCTTCTCCAACCAGTTGTACTTGACAATAACTTTTCGAATGATTCACTCGGTAAAACGTACACCATTTCTCGGAATTAGTTCCAAGAGTTGTTTTGTTGGCATGTAAACAGTGCTCAGACTTCAAAACTTCAAATTCCGTGCTTCGAAAATGGTGAAAACATTTGCAGGGTTTAACACTTATCTTACTGGAGTACATTCTTCTTTGGATTGACCAGTTTTGTTCCTGGTTCGACAAAACTTCAACGGACAGAAATAATCGACTAGGTGGTTGTCCAGGTTGTTTTGGGTAATGCTGCTACCAGTGGTTTGTAAAGAGATAGGTGGGTTCTTGTACCACATAACTCTAAGTGTCAGTCTAGCCTCTTTCGAATAAATTGGGGGAATGGGCCACGGCAACTTCTATTAGATAGCCCCTAAGTTAAGATAATCTAACTGCAAACGTGCAGCGCGATCACCGTACGTGCTCTCTCAAGCTCTGCTCTTAAGAGATCACCTCTAAGCTGTCAGGAGCGTTGCAGTCTGTCAAACTAACTCCCAAGAACAACTTTGTAACATCCCATTCACATCCCCGAGCTGAAATTTCTTACATGAGATGTCACGATATACTCTGCCAGAATTTAGAAACTTTAGGTAACCCGGTATGAATGGGACTTACCGGATTAACAGAGTCCACCCATTCAACGATATCACCAGGTTGGTGTAACATGACACGTGTTGACAGCCAGTTAAGATTGATAGCTTGGTAAGATGCCAAGAAACGAGTCAATTTCCACCCTTTTCATAATCCTTCTAGCTGAAGAGACCAAGGAGAGGGGACCAGTTTATTTCCCCGCATACCCCGGGATGGCGACTCATCGCTTCCATTTGGAAAGATATCTGCCTGACAGAAAAAGGTACCCGAAGCAGCTGACAAGGGGACAGTAAAACATCGACACGTTCTTTGATTGCCGTAAGTTTCAGAGGCACCTGAATATCACACCTACGACCAAGTCAACCATATTCAAAACACGCGTTGGTACGAATCAGACCTTACATTATCCTGCATATCATGGCATTTTATGTCGATGTTCTGCGTGGTTTAGTAGATCTCCCGTCTGTGCAGAAGAAAAATCCGGAGCATATATTGCATCTTTTTCTCAGAAACTCAGCCTCCTGAAGATCACAACCCTCTTCTGAAACGTTAACGATTACCACCCTCAAGAGACATCCATCTGGATAGACACGGCGGGACGCAAAAAATTACTGCTGAGAAAACAGAGGAACCGAAACGAGGATTTACTTAAGGGGAAGTTATTTGTCTGTCTCACTTTATCTAGTCACGAACCAACTCTGTTGACTTCAAGACGTAATGGTTTTGCAATGCACTTCACCCAAACTGTAAAGAAACACTTGCTAATAACTATTATATTTGTCACATAAGTCGTCGCATAGCCTTCTGTAGCTGCTGGTTATATTACTCGTTTTTCGGTATTACGAACCCAATAAACTAGTAACTACTACTGCTCAACCGTAGTCTAGCCCAACAAACGTATTTGTGCTGCGCCTACATGTAAACTCAATCCTAGCGTTTTAACTGGAAGAGCGCGTTCGCTAACTGGTTCGACATCAAGCCCTAGAAGAGGCCCTGAAGTTAAGGTACTCGATTTCACACCGGGACAGCATAACGCTTCGCGCAAAAATAAGGATGATTTGGTGACCTTGCAGAAGTCACTGCAAGACATGAACGCTGGACTCCAAGTAACCCTGCTACTGTTGCATCTTTGTTAGCCTAGTCCAGAAGCCAGTACTGGAAGCCCATTGAAATCAGGAGGTTTGCTAGATTTCATAGCTACGGAGGTTATTGGAAGAATTATGTCCTCATGTGATGTACTAGTATACAACATACCTGACCACGAACCGATCAGTCAACTAAAAGCCTTGTTTGCGAGCTTGTAATTTGTCTTCTGAAGAATACCAAGTTATCTATCCCCTCAAGAAGCCTGGGAAGTATACCTGCCCCTGGTGTTCAAATTTGACAGCTCTTACCATGCCAGACACTTCCTATCATCCAATCAACTTACCAGTGTATCCGCGCTATATAAATACGCCAGCCTTTCACAAGACTTAACATCTTGTCAAAGACGTAGTCGCATAAAAATACCAAAGGTTCCAAACCGTAGTCAGGCTGTGGTATCCACAACAGCAATGCAGTCTGTTGGTGAACTGGCTTCTGTACTAAGACAACTGAATGAGGCACATCAAATTCCTAAAAATACCTCACCCATACATAGACGTAGTAGAGCCAGTGACACGACGGTAAGCGACTTGACTAAATGCACCCGGAGACAGGAACAGGATCTCTCAAAAGCTACCTCACGCCTACAGAAATGGAAACCCAGCCGCAATCTCACCCCGTCTCACAGATCGCCACCAAACCAAGTGCCACGCTATAGATCCAACACAATACTGAAGACGTTACTATGTCGTCGCCAGAAGTCACTCAGCCTGTAAACATACGAGCACCAGCCACAAGCCCCCTGTCACCATAGGAACGTCCCGAAGCCTAGCCAGCGAACGGTCTAATCTACTCTCACATCGGTCAGTGCATAACTTATTTGCATCAAATGGGCAGATGACAGTGTACAGATAGCATCGGACGCTGTGACGCAAACCCTACCGTGGACCCATCCAGGTTAATCAAATTGCCGGATTGATGGATTCCCTGGGGTCAAGTTTAACGAATGTGAATTTGGCAATGACCATGATGAATACCGCAGCCAGCAGATAGACATCCCACACAACCTATCAGTCTTCATTGCTTCCTATGAACAGGGCTTTTCCGGACAGCCTACGGCTGCAACGCTGCTGGTAATGCAAGTGATTCGGATGCTGTCGGATCATCTGCTCTCTATCTTGACCAACAGTCTCTATACCAGTCACCATGTGGTGAATTACTCTCTGGTTCCGAGGTAAACGGCTCCATACCGTTTCCATGTACTGGGGGTCGTGACATCGCTAGCACGATGTGCGAAAACGACCCACAAGGAATGCACAGAAGTGCTGACTTTGTTCTAGATATATCCGAACACTTTTGTACTCCTAACTCGCTCTCGTTTTGCCTGGCCGACGCCCCTTCTGTACACAGGAAAATAAGGGAGATTGCACTGTTACCTCTGATTTTTGATCCATCCGTGGTAATGAATACAGAAGCATGGGGTACCTCTGATGTTTGTGGCACAGAGATCTCCATCGACAACCATCCTTCGCTCGGAAGGAACAGATTACTAGGTAAAGAGGAGGATGCACTATCCATGTAAAGTCTGACATCACTGTTACGCAGTGCTCAACCTCTAACCTTAACGAGATTGACGACTCAATGTGGGTTATCGCCAAACTTACTCATTTTACACCTCCCCAAATAGGGTGCATTTACCAACCCCCTCGGTCCCCAGTCAAATACGATGACAAGTTAACAAGCGTGTTCGCTCGCATGGCATCACTACCATGCACAGCGAAAATTATATATGGTGACTTTAACATGCCGGATATAACGCGGCAACCAGTCAGTCACCCAAAGCCAGGTACAACAGTGTCCTGGACCCAAGATTCAAAAACGGAACCACAACCACTGAACTGCAGATAGGTATACAATTCCCAGGTAGCGATCACAAGATAGCGTGTGGATACTTCAACATATCTAGCACAAAATCAGCCCAAAAGAAGAGAACAGTTCCATCTGGAAACTGCAAGTATGCTAAGTGGGACGAACTACAACTGTTTCCGCGCTGCCCAGATTGCAGACCTTGCTTTATCAGCAGTTCAGCCAAAGAACTCTGTGATCTATTTTATGAGTATATAGGCACAGCTCAAGACCGTATTAGTACACCTCTCCAGAGAGAAGTTAAGAAAGACAGACTTGCCTTTACACCTACGCAACTGTATGCGTAACCATGGGGAAGAGTAGCATAAGTCGAATGGCTCTTCATCGCTTATCACGCTCAAAGACACGTACAACACATTTAAGGCAGAAAGGGTGCTAGAAGCCGTTAAGCAAGAACGCATTCACTGTGGTACGCACTAGCGGTCCCGAAGCACCAGTGAGACTAGTGGAAACTCAGAAACACTGCTTCTGGTTTACTCATGGATAATAAGAACCTCTACGACGACCCACTACAAATCTACGACCTATTATGTCATCAGTCCGCCAGCTGCTTTACACACGAGGACAAGACAAAAGTCATAGGTACGCCGTCAACATCAACTCGCTTGATGAGTACTGTGCTCTTCACTCAAAAAGGCATTTCTCTAGCCATATCATCACTTCTAACTCCATACAGTGCTGGATCTGACGGAATTCCAACCATCTTGCTAAAAAAAGGTGGCAAAGATGAACGGCTGACCCTCTCGGAGCTCTTTAATATGTCCCTCTCTGGCGGCAATTACCCTGAGAACTGGAAACTGTCGTACACATATCCCAAGCGTAAATGTGGACCAACATCCAATATAGAAAACTACCGACCTACAAACATCACGTAAGTAGTATTAGGACTATGGAAGTTGTGACTGCGAAAGAAGCTGTCGACTACATGACAACAAACCAATTACTTTCTCCAGCACAGCACGGATTTTTGAAGGACCGGTCATGCGCTACCAGCTGTCTTGACTATCCAGACGACTTTACGGGCAAGCGACACCAGAGCTTGTTTGTAATGACCCCTTTCTCAGCCTTCAAGTAAGCATTGTATAAGGTGCCTCACAGACGCCTGGTCACTAAGTTGAAATCATATAATTTCCAAGACCCGTTACTGTCCTGGCTTGTAACATCCTCAGTGGGTCGCTTCCAGGCAGTAAAATTCAGTCATTGCTACTCCTCTTCTAGACCTACGCAAGGCGGTGTCGTCCAGGGTAGTGTGCTAGGGCAATTACTTGTCCAAATCTATGTAAACGATATCTGCAGCGTTGTCAAAAATGACACCTTACCTTTCTGCAGACAACTTGAGGGTAACCCACGGCTTTTCCCTCGCAGCACTAACACAAGGTTTCCCTCAAATACAAGATGATCCGAAGAGTATATTCACGTGGAGTGTGACGTGACGGCTCCCCTCAAACCCAAATAAAGTGGTATCACCCATTTCAGGAAACTCTATTCAGAAGTAAAACTACACCTGAGTGACACCGTGGTGCGGACATTCAACGCTATGAAAGACCCCAGCATCACTTACTGTAGGAGCTTAACTTTTACGGGGTATGCGGACCAGTAGCTTCCAAGGCAGAAGGCTCATAGGTCTTCTACAGAGAAACACATCTGAGGCAAAACTTGTGCTACACAAAGTTAGTGTCCGCTCAGTCTACGGTGCCATGAAAGTGTCCGGTAGAATTCGAGTATAGCATATCCAAACGAAACTTTGCTGGGCGCCTACTAATACATAACGAAGGACTTCCCTACCTAGCAAGGTGTAAAAACTAGAACTTGAATCACTTTGGCTTAGACGCCTGAAGCTCGGCCGAACATTTGTTTTGCGTCTTTTATTTAAAAAATCAAGAATTAACTGTGCTACCACTTTTGAATCAACACCCTTGTATGGTCTCTGTGATAGCGAACACACCATTCCAATAAATAAGTATCGCCCAAAACTTCGGTGTTGGTTTTTTCATAACCCAATATGGTACGCTGCAGCACAAACTTCCAGCTTCGATGCATGCATGTCGATCTCTCGGCCAGTTACGACGATTACTTAGTGAATTTCTCCTATCTAACTAAACTCACCAATTCGTTGACCTCCAAATCACAAACGGTGATGCCATGTACAATGGTGCTACTGGTACCTAGACCCAAGGGAAACCAACATGGCAAGGATAAAGTATGCAACGCTTTAAAACAAGCACATAAGTTAAGTTAAATGCTAATAAAACGACTGACTTAGAGTAGACAGCAAGCGGAGTATGACACGATTTGCAACGATTAACTGTGCAACATGTGCCGGTACAATTCATTATTCAAAATATATTATTATTGCCGTAACCCTGACGTAACCTCTACTTCTTCATAGCCTAACTGATCTCTCGCTTCAATGCCCATTCATTCTGAACCGTGAGATATAGATCTTTCAGTCCTCACTCTAAGTAAATTTAACCTGTCACAACTAGGGTTCATATTTCTGACTTTTATCTCACTCTAGGTATATCTTGTAGACCGACTACACACACACCTCCACTGTACAATACTAAACCGAACGTGCAGTGGTCATAGGCTCCTGCAGGAAACATTAAGACTAGCAAAAGGAAACGAGGCTTCTTGAAAAGAAATTTTATGATAGTATGTGTTACAAGAGTATTGGCGACAGGTGGTAAGATAATTCAAAATATAAAAACAGCTTCACAGCACTAGGTGGCAGATCTAACGGTGGGGCATATGGAAACCACCCTAATCTGTGAGATGTCTAAGAGTAATTGAGGCATTTAGATGCAAGAAGACAGCGCGACAAACACCATGAATAACATCGGGTATCTGATGACCAGTGCAACAATCTCCAACCTCCTCCGTGCTAGCTGTGTTACTACGATTGGCAAAGAGAGTAAAGACTTAGGGGGAAGCAGTGGCAGTACATGGCACAGGTAAGGTTGTGATGGACGATAACGCAGAAATGCTTAACACGAGACGGCAGGTCTAGTGGTGGGGACTTATGGAAACCATCCTTATCCGAGTCGTTAGACCCAGTACACGCCCTTCGTCCCTCCACCCCTTAGGGTTATGGCAGCTATCTTCCCCTAGCCCTGTAGGTCCATTTCAAGACAAAACAAAGCCACCATCTTTAAGCATTTGTACTACGGCTTAAACCAGGACCTGAGAAATGCACTGCATAAAACCACAAAGGCATTCCACAAGTAGAATATAGAACTGTATAGACCCTACTCCTCGTGTCTTCTCTAGGTACTCCAGTCTTCAATACTTCTCCCCCAAATTCTGAGACAACTAACTTCACTTGTCACGCCTTTATGTTCCTCTTTCTCAGCCGATATGCAGGTGACGATGGCGAATCATGCCAACACGCTTAGCACCGAGATACACTTCGAACTTCTATTCAGCACGCGAGAACTATCATCTTTTGCCACCTATAGATGCAAAATCACCAGGGGCCAAACAATCCATCCAGAGCTACAACCCCTCCTAAATTCACGGCCTCCACTGGGAGAGTGACTGGAAGTGTTGATATTAAATGCCGTTTGCTTCCAAACATGCAAGTTTTTCCAGTCCTGACAACCACTCACGTGGATACGAGGCTAGCCGGAAGTGACCTCCTGTGACATGCCAACCTTGAAGTCTTATTGAATGGTTTTGATAGTGAATTCTCTTGTGTTCTCCACCGTAATACGACTACAGTACCTGGATAGAAATGCATCCCTGGCCTTGTTTATTCAAGTGACTCTGGTTACAACATTACTGACCCAAAAATTGCTACACTGTGCATGGCACCACACAATGCCAGACCGAAATTTGTCCCGGCCATCCATCTCAGTTTCGCTTGCCTTCTGTAGACGGTACAAACTTATTGAATACTGACATATCTGTGGATTCATTTGTTCTCAACATTCGATATGTAGTATGCTCTTATGGATTACATGACTCACTATTGCCAAGATGCTTCTCATACCGGGAGATGGTACCCTCATTAACTTTCACCACTGCTGTCTAACGATATGTCTGTCATTTAACATTTGTGACCAGCTATATCTAAAGATTGTTTACCATAGAAGACTTTGTATGACGCGATGAGTTGTTTCTTTCTAAACTTTTGCAACTTCAACAAGGAAATAACACTCAGATATTTCCTATAAAAATGGCATGGGTTCGTGTAATTCATCATTCAAAATATATCACTATTAAATAAACAAATAAATATTTTATTCTCACATTGGTAAATTAACATCAGAGAAGCCAGTTCACAGGCATCATCCCATTGATACATGTTGGGAGTGTGCAAAATTTTGTGGAGCCTGAATGGTACGGAAGGGGGGTAATTAAATTCGATTAAAAACGTCAGAAGATTACATAAGTCATGAAATGAACAAGAAAGTACCACTTTTCAGCGTATACACAGCATTAAAGTATGGGCCGTTTTCAGTAGTATTTCCCTTTTTCACCATTAGTGGTGTCAAGGCAACGCGAAATTCCGAATCTCCTTTGCAAGTAGTCGACACGTTTGATTCGTCTTCATGATGCCGCGTTATACAATATAAACGTCTAAACTACCACAAATTCTTACGCTTATAGCTCCGGGTACCAGAAGAACCCACGCTGACGACGTCGAGAATCCGTGAGTTTTCAGGCAATCATGTAATCCAAGTGAATATCTATTCAAGTGTTATCATTCATGGCAATATAGACTTATACCATCAGAATTAGATATTGTGGTGCAAAGGAATAAACATTTTGAAAAAAGCAGACCAATGGCAACGAGTTTCTCATACTGTTCATGTTAAGGTATGCAGCATTGTCAAGGAGGTATATTCACTCTTGAATGAAGTGCTAGAGGAGTCTGCTGCATGGCATTATTGTGGATATGTCCACTTTAAATTTAATGGGTTAGTTGATCTCCTGGATCTTTCTGTCTGTCCAGATTTTAGATGGCATTATGACCGTCCAGAAACTTGAGTAATTTGAGGATTGATATATGTTCATATGGTTAGAGGGTCAAATGAGTGAACTGGATCGGTGATTCTTACTTAATGGACAGTAATTTTCACAGGAGCATAGTTTCATTGCCTCGGAAAGAAGTGGAATGTTGAGAATTGGTAAAGTATGTTCCTCATTTGTGTCCTGTTGTCATCGTCGGAGGTTATCTTGAAAACGTGGGTATTCCAGGATCCGAGTTAAACCCGTTGGTCGTTTAGCGTTCAGACTTCCGGATAACTGTAAGTTTTCGTCATAGTCCAGTTTCTTTATAACCTAATGATATACTCACGTTGCAACCATCTGAAATTTTGGTGGAAAAGCAACAAAAGCAGGTGTAGCCTCTGCACCTTCGAGGCTAGAAATTGTTCATATATTGAGAGTTCCTAATATGTCTGCAGTTCTGACAACAGTATTACTGGTGCTTTTATAACACTGTCCGGTAGTGTAGAGTTAAGCCGCCGTATAAACCTGGCAAAAGTGTCTGATCCTAGTGTTTCCCTAGGTAAGCTGTTCCATATTTCAGCACATTTTATCACAAAGAAGTTCTCCCTAGTGACCGTTCTGAGATGCTTAGTTGCTACTTTTGCAGTTACATTTCTAAACCCACATGCAGTTTTGTTTATGAACCGCATGTCTGTGCATGTGCTATGAGTTAACCTATTAAGGAGCTTATAAAATAGTATCAGGTTCAGTCTGAGCTTTCGTTTCTATTGTGGTTCAGGTCCTAGGATGTTACGCCTGGTGGCATATTTTCCCCCCTATTCGTGTTGAATATTCTCATCGTAGAGTACCTCTGCACTCCTTCGACTTCCAGTCTATCCGTAACCCGTATACAGCTGCATATGAATGAACGATATTCGAGCGGTGGTCGGACACATGTTTTATACAGGATAACCCTAGATTCGGGACCGTAGAAGTTCCATAATAAGAAACCCACCAGTTCGCGTGATTTCGACGCCTGTGTGAACACGTGCTCATGGAAGGCTAGTTTGTGAGTATATCGGAGCCCTAAGTCCTGCATAGACTTCAGTTTTAGGAGTGGATGTCCGATTATCATTAAGTCCAGTTCCAGTGCATAGTCACCTATGCATATCCAGCCACATTTTTCTGTGTTAAATTCTGGTCACCGGGTGTTGTACCATTTGCTAACATATCTTAGTTCCTCTTGCATAGTGCCAATGGTCAGAGTCAAGTCACTGCCAAGGCATGTGTATACTACCTTCAGGTCATCCTCATATAAGAATGGCTTGTGTACCTTGAAACACTCACATATACTATTGGTGTATTTTATGAAGAGAAGTGGACCCAAGACGCTGCCCTGGACTACTCTACTGGTTACTGGTGTAGGCTTAGAGATAGCTGAGTCAACTTTTGTTGCTTGGTAACGGAAGGAAGGCCGTCAAACTCTGTGAAAAACATTAGAATATCGCGCTAACCATGAGACAAACAAAAAATACTACTTTCAGGCTTATAGATAGCGTTAAGATTTAGACAATAATAAATATTATCCTCAGACAATGGAATTAAAGTTTGCAAGCAGCGTCAAATTGATAGTTCTTGAAAGTTTACAAAGTGGCATTTAGTCTTAGGTAATTCATACACTACGTCATTCATGTGCATAATCCTATTAAGACTGGCCGCAATTCATGAAGCGGGCCTGGATTTTCATCTCCCACCACACAGATAGGTTCCATTAACAGGAACAAAAGCGCGAAGTGTTTGAAGTTTGCGTTATAACCAGCCAATGTTGTTAGTCTATTTGCATAGTTTGTTATTGGGTAATATAACCGTCTATCGATCAGTAGGTTCTTCAGTTCCTAGTTTTGCTGACCACAAAGAACCCATTTATACAACCAGGAGTATCAGTAGGTATTCTCGTTTACACAAACAGGGTGAGCGTCCAAATCAATGCTTTTCCAGCTTGCCATGTTACGTTCAAAGGTAATGTAAATAAACTCCACTGGGAATACCTGTTGTAGGGGATGGAAATAGGCGTCGAAAAGGTTAGTAGTCCTGATGGCATTAGTTATTGTTGTCATCACGGTGTACAGTTTTGAAAATTGTCCGTCGAAACGAAAATTTCCTCCACTGAATTGCCCTCCGTAAACTTCTGAACTGCAGACATTGCTCACAGGAATATGTTAGCTGGTCTAGCCACAGCATTACCCAAGCAATTTTATGAACACCAACTAGCTGTGCAGTGACATGATACGGCCTCCTTCGTTTAGGTGCACGCTAGCGATCACGATGGCATTTTGGACCGGGAGGGCGTGGAAGTCTTGGAAGGAACAAGTTCGAAGCCTTCAAAAGAATTTCAGGAGCATGCCATTCGCACAAAAAGCGAACAGGCATTTAGATATAGATGCAACCTATAATCTACTTGGAAAAGAAGGAAAACAGGCATCCACGGATCAGCGGTAAACTGGCCGAATAAATCAATGAAGGTGCACAGGGCGACAGCAACAACAGCACGATTTCGCTCCAACAAAGAATATCTACCGGTGAGCCTGAAAACAACTTGAGGTCAGGGAGGTTACATTCTGGTGAAAACCTCCTCCTCAGCTTACAGCTGGACAACATTCAGAGTAAATAAAAACGTCATCTAAGCGTCCGTGCAGGAGTAGAGCACGCATCGCTTCCTCATGAAGTCAGCACTCACGTGATCCCTGAGACGGCAAGCTTGACCTAAGAGGAACGAACTAAGGAACAGAACGTCTTCTTTTCCTTGTATTGCAAATGAGGGGTAGATTTAACCATGTAATACACTTCTTTGAGAAGTGACTTCGAATCCGATTCTTTTCACTGTTTTGTTGCCCGTTTCGGTACACCTATAGAATATTGGGGGGCATTACAGGGTCAGTGACGAAAACTGTCAGCATGACGCATTGATTCTTGTAGTGTTTTCTCAAACAAGAAGAATCCGCCTTGGGAACCAGAAGCGGGATTTCAAAAACTGCTAGTCGGTTGTGGTTTCCTTGATGACAGTGCGCATAGTGGACCAACTCTTGGAACTCATCCACCGTGGGCTGGTTTTCAACTCATAATAACGATATTTGTTCGTGAATTCACAGACATGGCTGTAGTATTTAGTGGCGAGAAAATGTGTGATAAAATTGCCTACCACATCTTCATCCTTCCAGAGAGTGGCGAAACCGAGGCAACTGAATTTTTGTGTTCATTCATAGGTATAATAAGGCATTCTAGCAGAAATGAAAAACATGTTTAATGAATACGTAGAAGCATCATACAAATGAGGAGGGGAGCAGTTCAATAGGTTCATTCTCAGAGAGGCAACGCTGGCTGACTTCGCCACAAGTTTTTATTCAGCAACAATAATATACGGTCACATGTCATTTTTAACGGTATGGATAAAATTCCTATGTAGGTTATACGTTTCTTAAGGGCGGGTAGCTTCAATCTCCACCTACTAATTCGCTAGAATGCATGTGTTGTATACACCCCTGGGATGAAGCACTGAAGTAGAATAGGTGTTCACAGATTGGAAAGTGGACGTATTTTCTCCGCATCGACAACAAAAGCCAGGGCCCGTACATAATTATTACATGTTTTGTCCGGAGAAAAAAGCCTGAAACCAATACTTCCATTGTTGAACCTCGTTTATTTTGTGTAAGAATAATGAGGCAGGTTCATGAATGAATACTTGCATGTTATCCTCTGTCTGTTGATCTTCGCCAACTACAGAACTACGTATTTCACGTGCTCTCGGACCAGCTCACACCAAATGTTAGTAGTCCTATCGAACTCTCCGACCAAGGACCGACTATCTGTCTACTT